TGTGTTCCACGCCTCTCTTGGAAGTACAACGGCCATCTTGCCTGTGTGTTCCACCACACTCATTACCGCTGGTCGGTTCAGAGTGTCTCCCTGGCATTATACCTGATGAGCTTTTATCTGACTGCTATCTTTGTAAGTGCTTTTAAACTTTACTACTCAATAAACTGCTGCATACTGCACTTAGAGGCGCCTTCCTTGCTATGTACTAAATAAGAATAAGTAACCTCAGAGGTTTCTACTGGAGGCAGCCTGAACCCAGAGCGTACCTCAGGTTCCATCCATTCCTGCTCCAGGATTGGTGGCTCTAGTGTCAGGGACCTCTCCTGCTTCTTAGTCCCCTGAGAAACAGATGAGATCATCCCCGTGATCTTATCCTCTAATCCTGCTAAGGCTGAAGCAAGATCATCTTTGGTTACATACGCTGATGCGGAAGCACCAGTAGTAGCCGCAATACCAGACAAACATAGTGGCTCAGATTGCCCAGTTGCTTCTGGCCTCTCAGGAGAGGATATTACAGTGGAACTCCGACTAGGTTCCTCAGGACACGATGGTGGTGCAATAGTGCCCCTTCCTGCTGTGCCTCTCCCACTTCACTTTCTGGAAGACATTACTTCACTAAGCGCTAAGCCCTGTTTACCATAAACTAATAAACACAGAGACCAAATACAGCTATGCAAGTAGTGTGAAAGATGGCTGCACAGCTAGGGACATCTGCTCCCTCTAGTGGCCTCAACAGAAAAAAACTCAGGCAGGCATAACAGAATTGGTTCCACAGCATCACACATCCCCAGACGAAGCCACGTGACCCTATGGCGCAATGCATAGGGGAGGGGCTCTGACGTCACCGTGCACTCGAGACAACATTGGCGAGTATAGACTATGTGTTGAGCACACACAGAGGAGGCTCTATAAGGCTTATTACTATCTTTGTAAATGTGAGTGTATAGACACACTAAAAAGATAAGGCACTATATGCTTCTTTTTTCTTATATGGCTTATAATATGGAGAAATAAGGAGGGAGAAGGAAAGAAAGAGAGATCCTTGTCCTGCAGCACTAAGAGGGAGAGATCCATGTAATCCTATCCATTTAAAAGGGGAGTAGATTACCAAAAAAATCCCGGTGGATGAAAAGGAGAATTACATCCAGTATCCTGCATACCACTGATAAATTCAAAATGATTTATCCTGGTTTCAATCAAAAGCTGTGGTTGCCTAATTGATAGTTAGGCTTCCTTTGAGGTAAGCGCATATCAAAATCCAAAATTTGAAGAGCACCTGTTCTCAAGAGAAGCACTTTTTCAAGAGGAGCACTTTAAGGAAAATTATAAAATTGACTTTGGCAATATTATTATATAGATTTTTTCATTTTTTATTTTACACTATATTAATTTGATTAATTTATGTATAATTTTGGGTATCCACTATTAATCTCAGTGGAATAGGAAAAGTGTATCACTATTGCACTTTAATGGGAAATTAGATAATATTATCAATTAATTGTTGTTTTATTATACTAATTTAGTGTACTGTTGGTGGGATCGCATCACAACACACATTTATTTAGTTTTTTGGTATTTATTTATTATATCAGCACTTTTAGAGTAATAAGAGGAGCGCGGCACTACTGCACTTTAAGGTTCCACAGCAAGCACTCCCCTTGGTGGTACACCAGCCAATTACAGAAAAAATGATACCTCTCTTTCCCTCCAAAATGCTGCCTGATTCTATGAGAGCAAAGAGGTAGCTTACTAGTCCAGCTGCAGGCCCCTGATTTCCACCAGGCACCAACCTTCACCCACCACGGCGGACATTGTCATATAGACCCTCAAGGACTTGATCCTGCCTCGGGATTAAACAGTGGGAGTTATATTTATATAAACACTTATATAGTTATTGCTTAGTGAAGGAACATAAATTATTGTCTGCAGCCATCTTACCTATTTTTCACATCATTTTAAAATATTTTTTATGATTTATCAGCACTAGTTGAGGCGATATATATATACACAGTTTTTACACATAGAGGCATGCGATACAACCTTTATATATAGTGGGAGTTATATGAGCTATCCCCAGGAGAAAGGCCCTCACCAAAGTCTGAGCAGCCAGAGGTCTCCAAAAGAGAATAGCCAAGGCCGATATTGGTCTATTATGGGTACTTAAAGGACAAGTACTGACCAGAGCGGAGAAAAGCTAGCGACCGGTCACTAAAAGGCTGGTCATTGAGACAGCAAGTCAGGTTGGTCAGGTAGATATTCCTTGGAACTATAAGATGTCCGAGTATCAAATTCTCCCACGCTAGTCTGGTGCCACAAGAAGGAACAAAATACATTTCACCTCAATCCTGCAAAGTAGCCAAGAACTAATCTGTACCAGAGGGAAGGCATACATGGCAAACTATAGAAACCTCTGGTGCAGTGGAAAAATAAGGACATGTAAATACCTATCCTTGATATCTATTAATGCCAAAAACACAGCCTTTCACAGTGATGCAATGACAGACCGGGCCCGCTGGAAGAGATTGAGAACCTTCAAGTCCAGGATGGGGAAAATGCCAGGTTGGAATAAAATCCTTGAAACCAGTACTCAGTGGAAACCTGAATAATCACACCCAAAGAGTGAAGCTGCTACTGCAGCATGGCATGAAGATTCTGAAAACTCCATAAAGAAGCAGGGAGATTTGGGGGCATAAAGGAGGAAGGAGGCAAAGACAAACTCCAGTCTGTATCATTGGGACACTATGTACAGGACTCAAATATCGAAACTGCTATGAATCCAGGCAGCCGAGAAAGCCAATAGACATCCCCCCACTGGTAGAGCTGGGGGGATGTCTGTCTCATTGCAAGGCAGTCATGACACCACACTTGGCTGGCTTAGATATCCAGTACTTGCAAAGGAATTGAGAGGACTTGGTCTTAGAATCAGCGATCAGTGATGAAAGGAACTCTTCCAAAATCTAGGAGCACCTGACTTTGGTACCGGCACACTCGGTTTCTTCTATTTAGGTGAAAGCATGCTCTTTCCTGCCTATGACTTTTTTTTTTTTAATAAAGGTGTTTAATGGCTCTCTGAAGAGTCTTTTACTGTCAAATGTAATCCTTCCAGACCTTAGTTGCACACTGCCTTCTCTGACCAGTTCCACAGCCACAAGCTCCTGCACATCTGGACTGACAGATTTTTGGCAGGGGCAGTCCATCTGTCTACACATAAGCACAATTCTGCTGGGAGTAGCTTAAATTTTTGGAACATTGAGGGATCCATCAGGATTTGCACACCATGTGCTTAGCTCATAGCGCCATGGTCTGGAAAATGGCCATAAAAACCACTGTAGATTACATGGCCACACTCAAAAGAGCACAGGGGGCTTTAAGGAGGGTCTGCAACCTCTTCTCCACAAAGTATTTAAAGGCTGGGATGTCCTCAGCCAGTACTGTTAGAGATTTGCTGCGGAAGGAAATAGCTGGATCCAACACTGGAACATTACACTACTTGTGGTAAGCCTCCTTAACAGGGTAGTGCTTAGCACATCACTTGGGAATAGAATGAATTTTGTCAGGCCGAGGCCAATCCTTGTACAGAACATTCCAAGCAATTCCAAATATAAACAAGCACATACCATGTCCATCAAACAGGGACCTGGGTCCAGGGACTACCTTTAGGAATGGGGTTGGGGTGTTGTTGGGGGGGGAAGTCTCCACTAAGAAGGGGCATAACCCCAGAGTCCTCCTCAGGTCTCTAGAAATCTTCTCAGGGAACAACCACCAGGTGAAAACTTCCTGCATCAGGAGGGCATACCCCCTCTTTCATTGAGGGGGTTTTATGGGATTGGGTCACACCAGTACAGATCGCCAATGCCCTGAATTTGTAGAGCATCCTGCGAGTAACTGCACCTCACTTTACTACTGAACCAAGGGCAAGTGCCAAATGCAGAGCCTAGTGCTGGATACAACAATAGAGGCTGGCTCTGGGCATTGTTGGAGGCTCCTCCTACCAGCCGCAGCAGTTGCAGAGGAGCCAAAGTTGTGCGGTCATAATATCGCTAGTAGACAGGAAAAGAAGGCATTTATACTGTTATTACAAATGCTATGCAGCATTAGTAATGGGAGAGGACAAGCAGCATTTAAAAATTCCTTTGTTAGATAGCCTTTCCTACTTCTTTAAAGCCTAAAGTAGTTTTAAAGGCAGAAGGTTTTTACCTTAATGCATTCTCTGCATTAAGGTAGAAAACCTTCTGGGTGCAGCTCCCCCCTCAGCACCCCGTTATACTTACCTGAGCCCCATCTCGATCCAGCGATGTGCATGAGAGCTGTGACTCTCCTGTGTGTCTCTCTCCTCATCGGCTCACATAACAGTGGGAGCCAATCACAGCCAGTGAGCCAATGAGGAGAGAGAGTGTGTGTGTGTCTGTGTGGTGGGGGGGGTGGGGTGGACATGTCCATTCACATGAGCTTGGCTCGGGAGAGAGCCTGCTTGAATACCCCATAACAGTAGGCTCTGAACTCTGCTGTAAAGGGGATTTAAAAAAGCTGATAACCAAGTCAAAATCTGGTACTTAAATGGATTGCATTTGAAAAACACATTTAATGATGAATCTATGATCACAGAGCTGCATTAGTTTTATATATGCCTGGAGTTGAACTTTAAAAGTTCAGTAAAAATTTCCACTTCCCAAACTCCAAGGCCCCTACTTCTTTCTTGCATCACAGTTCCTCATGTGCACAAAGCTGAGGGCAATGATCAACACATACAATAACGGCAGTCTGATGGGGTAAGAATGGGTACTGTCCAATAGAGGTAATATGAGGTTCATTTTTTTTTCTTATTGAAATTTTACTACCTTTGCCCCATGCTTACACGCTCCTTAGTCAAAGATTTGGTAAAATAACTATGCTGAGCTAGGTGTACACTTCATATTTTTAAATTATTTATATATCAGAACTCCTTTTTAATCTCTATACATGACAGCATTAGAATACATAAAGTAAACCTTTGTTATAACCTGTTTTGATGCCTGCACTGCTTGTTCCTCCGCTTGGTCAAGACGCTTCTGAAGTCTGCTACTTTTTTCCTGTAAATCAGCAATCATTTTTTCAAGCTGTGGAATAACACCACAAAGAATAGTTAAATGACAACTGCAATGATTTCTATTTGCATTTACCACTACTTGTATTTTACATCTGTTTGGCTGCCATACACAACACATCCTCCCTTTGAGTCTCTGTGCATAACACCCACAGTTTATAGCAAATCAGTAAATTCCAACAACAGACAAAACCATTTGTTTTCCTTTCTTTCTTTGGAAGGGGAAGGGTAAAAACATAATTTAGGTTTTTATTACTGTCTATGACAGGAGTTATCTTCAATGGGGACAGCCACAGGAACAAAGCCTCATCTTTGGCAGAATACAAAAAGGTCGGAACCTTTGTGGATGTTTTTTGTTCTCTGTCCTCTCATTTCCCGATGAACCCAACTCTGTTCATTATATGGATAAAAAATGAAGAGAAAACTCTCCAAAAAGAAATGGAGATGGCAATAAAAATATAACCCTCATTTCATAACTAAAATAGGTTTTAGCATTTAGTGTTTGCTTGAATCAATTTACAGGACAGTTACACACATTGTATTCCAACGTATCCCCACATGCCATTGATAGCCCCTCTATGGACCTCAGATCAGCAGGGGACCTGGACCATGAGTTGTGGCCTACACTGTGCAGCAACAGCATCCTCCACTGAGCTTAAAAGCCAGACAGTATGCCATCATGAGCCCTAACGGAGAAACAGTCACCCTTTGTATGTGCAAGTAGTTGTTTTCTCCATTACGGCCTGTGCAGAAAAGGCTGCTCATGTACGGTGCTGTAAGGCCTGTTGGCTTGCTTAGTAGTAAGTTGTGCTTACACCTGCTAATCTGAGGTCTGTAGTGGAGGCTATAAGTGATATGGGAATGTTGAGTGGGAGCAGTTAAAACTTGCTCTTACTTAAAAACAAAAATGTAACATATTGCAGCTCACCAGTCCTCAGATGTGGTGGTTGCATTCCTTTTTCTTTCCTTTTATTTTTTTCCCCTTCATTTTCAACTAGCAAACCTGAAAAACACGTCTCCCTCACTACATCTCCACTGCATGATTAACAGATAACAGAAGGAACATAAAATTGCTTATGATTTCAGTTCAGTGTACAGGAAGGGAAAAGGACACCACATTTTTGGCAAGATTAGAAGGTATATTACCCCACCCTCACCTAACGGCCATTCTCCCTCATTCCTCCCACCACTTCATTCCCCTCACCCACTTCCTCCTGTACCACTACCCCCTCCCTCCTAGATTGTAAGCTTGAAAGAGTAGGGCCCTCTTACCCCTCGTACGTTGTTTGTTATTGTTGTACTGTTTCATGTATTGTCCCCCCCTATATTGTACAGCGCTGAGCAAACCCTTTGGGGCTATATAAACTCGATGTAATAATAATAATAATATTTTCTGCACTTTCTAAAAAATGAAAACTACTGCAGACACCACATCGAAGGACTGGTAAGCAGCAATATCCTGAATTTGTGTTCTTGGATTTACAGTAAATGTCCTTTATCAAGAAAGTGCTAGATACAATTTTGTTGCTTCTGAAACATTACTTCATCATCATGTTATAGTATCTATACCAGCCTTTCTCAACCTTTTTTCCCCCCAGAGGCACCCTTGACATATTATTCAGGTCTCAGGAAATCCCTATTAAAATGAATTAATTGTGCTTCAGTGGGAGGAATACCTCCTTACAGGCAGCTAAAAAGATCAATGATGTAACGCAGCTGGCTCTGCCAAATGGCATTGGACCCTGAACTATCCAGACACCATCAGATTGCTGGTTAATTAGCCATAGTTAGAAATCCCTAGCAGTCCCTGGTGGAACTCTGGTTGAAATTAGCTGATCTATGCATTTATTTCTATGCATTTTTTTCAATTGGATTAGACATTTGCAGCTGTAAGGAAATGTTACATTTAGCGTTACGAATTGATCATTGCTTAGAAATGTCTTTTCACATAAATGGGAAAAGCTGCTTTCTACTGTATGTGTTAACACAGTTAACACAGTCTGTTAACAGAATTGAACTTGGAACTACACTCACCAGCCACTTTATTAGGTCCACCTTGATAGTGCCAAGAAAATATCCCCCACACCATTACACCACCGCCAGCCTGAACCATTGATACAAGGCAGGATGGAGCCATACCTTCATGTTGTTTATGCCAAATTTGGACCCTGCCATCTGAATGTCGCAGCAACCAGTCTGCCCATTCTCCTCTGACATGAACAAGGCATTTTCATCCACGCAACTGCTGCACACTGGATATTTTCTCTTTTTCGGACCATACACTGTAAACCCTAAACCCAGTAGATCAGCAGTTTTAGAAATACTCAGACCAGCCCGTCTGGCGCCAACAACCATGCCACGTTCAAATCACTTAAATCCCGTTTCTTCCCCATTCTGATGTTCGGTTTGAACTTCAGCAAGTTGTCTTCACCACATCTAGATGCCTAAATGCACTGAGTTGCTGCCATGTAGTTGGCCGATTAGCAATTTGTGTAACCAAGCAATTGAACAGGTGTACCTAATAAAGTGTCCGGTGAGTGTATATTTTCCAAGTGCAGTGCATTGAGGCTCTCCCAGCAGCCAGTCTGTTATAGAATGTGAATATTCTGATTGAACTAAACTGTTCTACAGAAAACATTTATTATATTGCAACTTACACATTCTTAGATGTGATGTATGCATTTGTTTTCAAATCTAGTGATCCAGCATGCAAGTCTGTTGTTTTTCAAAACAACAAACTTTCTTCCAGATGTATCAGTTTACAGGGACAAAACAACCCATTTAACACTGGCAGGGGTGCTTGCAATGATCAGTTCCCCACTAACTGCCAGCAATGCCACAGTGTTGCAGCAAAGCAGTACCAGCAGCATGATCATAAACAAAGAGGGGTGGGAACAATTCTATTTTCTTTCTAATCCATTGAGGGACACAGGAAGTATATGTAAACCCTCACCTTGTAAGGCAATCAAATCAGTTTAAAATAGAAATGAAAAGCAAAACATTTGCATAAACATAAAACTGGGGGAGGAGAAGCAGCAGAACACTGATCTTCCCAATGAATGGCTGTCCAAAGGGGGCAATTCCGCACCAGTTTGACAGCCAACTGCAGAAAGGAAACTGACCACGTTGTGCTTCCATGCCTAGTGTGGTCAGTTATTAAATAGGAAAGCAGAGTGACTGGCAGCAACACCAGGTATTTCATACAAAGAGAACAGAATACTCTTTCATACAAGTATATGGTACACAGGCACATATCAGGAATATGAAATTTTGGGTTGATATATTCTTTAACCTTTGGGACTTCCAAAACAGTCAAATTAAGGGGTAGGCAACACAGCTAACAATCGCTAACAGGCCTAAAAAAAAGCAAACAGAAAAACTGAGGACTGCCTGCAGCCCCCAAAGAGCAGCCTGAAGGACCTTGTGCCTGAATCTGGCATCAGATAGGGCCATAACATCCACCTGGTAAGAACTTAGAGAGCATGTTAACAGAAGACGAGATGGCAGATCTAAGAAAGTTACCTCATGTCAAAAAGCCCAAGAAAGGCTAACACATCTAGTGTAGTGTGAGCTCTAACAGGAAAGGGTGGACCTCCATCCTTGAGACCTTAAGCTTAGAGATACAGTAGATCAGGGGTCCTCAAACTGTTTAAACAGGGCCAGTTCATGGACCTTCACAGTGTTGGGGGGGCCGGACTATAATTTGAAAAAAATATGAAGAAATTCCTAATCACGCCGCACATATCTTATTTGTAGTGCAAAAAAACTGGGAAAAGCAATACAATATTTAAAATACACTGTAACACACTGTACACCGCAATGCATTGTACTGTGTAACGCACTGGATACCACAATGCATTGTACTCTGTAACACATTGTACTCTGATACACTGGACACTGCAATCCACTGTACACTGATACACTGGACACCGAAATGAACTGTACACTGATACACTGGACACCGAAATGAACTGTACACTGATACACTGGACACCGCAATGAACTGTACACTGATACACTGGACACCGCAATCCACTGTACACTGATACACTGGACTCCACAATGAACTGTACACTGATACACTGGACACCGCAATGAACTGTACACGGATACACTGGACACCGCAATGAACTGTACACTGATATACTGGATACCGCAATCCACTGTAACGCACTGGACACCGCAATGCACTGTACACTGCAACAAACTGGACACCGCAGTGCACTGTACTCTGATACACTGGACACCGCAATGTACTGTACTCTGATACACTGGGCATCGAAATGCACTGTACTGATACACTGGACACCTCAATGCACTGTATCTGGTGCCTGGTGTGCTCTCCTCCTTTCCTGTCCTGTTGCTTATCTGGCTGCAGCAAGTAAAATCCAAGGCTTGCAGACTACTGCTTGCTGGGTCCTCGCAGCCGAGGACCCAGCGAACAGCCTAGCTATTTGCCGGTGCTGTTTTTTTTTTTGTTTCGATTTTTCTTTCGGCTGGCCCGGCAAGCCTGATAAATGTCTTCAGTGGGCCGTATCCTTTTGGTGAATAGGATCTTGACTGAGGGATGGAAAAAAGATGTTCTGAGGTGAAAAGCAGAACCTAACTTAGGAAAGAATGAAGCGCTGAGCTTAAATACCTCCTTGTCTCTATGTAAAACCAGAAAAGGTTCCTTGCAGGATAAGGCCACCAGTTCAGACACTCACTTCACAGAGTCTCTAATGGATTCAAACTGCGGTTACTGTATTGCAGAAAGAACCAGATTCCCACAAAGTCACAGGGGAATGGAAGGCGTAGCTACATAGGAGACCCTATGTACAAAGATTTTAAAGAATAAGAGGCCAATGGGCTCTGAAACAGAATTGAAAGAGCAGAAACCTGACCTTTGATAGTTCTCCATCGCCAAACACTGGTCCAGACCCCACTGCAGAAAGGAGGATTTGCCCCAAAGAGAAACATCTGGGATGGAAGCCCCAAGACTTACACCAAGTGAGCATACATTTCATGTCTCAT